ATTCGTTTATTGTATGGCCTTGGCGCATACAGTAAGTGCATACTTTTTGTGGAGTCACATTTCTACGGTTCTGATTCAGATTTGAATTCTGTGTATTTCGTGAATTAGTAAATTTTTGAGTTTGGAAATAGCTCAACTGAAGTTCACGTTTCACTCTGAGAGTGGCTGTGAATAAATCAACAGGGTTTCCAGCTCTAACAATGCGTCCTATTTCTGGATCGAGTCCTGCGAGCAAAGTATTCATAGTCATAGATTCAATTAATTTTGATTGTGACTGGATAGCAGTTGTTTATTAATTGAAGCGTGCATTTTAGCGTTGTGCGTCTGTAGTCTATTTATAAAAACTAGAGGCGATTCTCCAGGTAACTGATGGAGACGCTGGAGATCTTGTATCAAAGAAGCTAAATCACGACTGTCACCAAAATATGGATTTAATAGTGATCTTATTTCTTCCAATGTCTGGGGATTTCTAGAGCTAATCAATTCGGCTGCTTTTCCTCCTAATTTATTTTCAATATAGAGAACTGTGAGTAACTTTTGGTCGCGAACCGCCATGCGGTAAGCAGTATTACACGCATTTAGAAAGGTTGTAAGAAATATTTGATCACCGTCATATTCCGGTACTATACAGAAAATTTCGTTCAACTTGTACGGTTCGACTTCGTCTTGATGGGTAGGTGTTGGTGGAGGTGAGTCAGGCATGATTGATTGGAAAATATTGAATCGACAATAGAATTGGTTAAATACAAAAAAATAGGAATTATAAAAATAGCGAGATGATTCGTTTGAGTTCTTACCAGTGGATTGTTTTCATTTGGAGGATGAAATCCGGCTTCACAAGCGTTGCTCCAGCGAAGTTAGCATGCGCGTGTTCTTCGGCTGTTGAAGAGACCGTCCTTCCGAGATGATTGCTTCTTGAGATTGATTTTTCAAGTGGGTCGCTATTCTGGGTGGTTGTAGGTTTCTTCCTTTGAAGGATTAGGATCCAACACCCTCGGTTAGGCTGTCCTTGTTCCGTGGATGTGAAGGAATCCTACCGACTGCGCCAATTTGTTAAATCACTTGAAGCACTAAAGACTTTTAAAAAAACAATTTATTTGAATGAGCTACAATTTGAATGGAATTAATACAATGAAAAATTAGATGTTGACGAGAGCTTGGTTTGAGTAGAACTGATTCTTCGCAGTTCAACGATGTAGCATCTAAGTTCTGAGGATGTCGAGTCAGCAGACACGTGTGTGTCTTCGGTTACTACTTGGCCTTGAGGTCATCAGTAATGTGAAACTCCTGAGATGGTACTTGCACAAGAATTCCTGGTATATGATGGAAATATTCATATAACATATATGCTGCGATTTTGATAAGGGTGTGTTGGATTATTATAATGGTGATATCAGTGTGGGAAGGTTTATGGAGAATTGAAAAATCATGTTTATTATCAATTCAACTTATTGTCAAATCTGAGGAATCTATCGAATATTTTTTTTCTATTTTTCTATTATTCGCTCCAAGTTCAGTAAAGTAAATGGCTCAGAGGATTTCCCAGAATGAACCCTTTTGACGCGGAATATATTTCGTTGTTAAATTGAAAGTAATATATAGTTTGAGACATATCGACAGAAGGTCTAAGATCTCTTGTTTGGTGATCGGATTAACATGGTTTTCATCTAATAACTCCTGAATTGATATTATGGTATCTTTGGGAGGTATACTTGGAAGAAGGTTTTGTACCTCACATGAAATGAATTTCGTGTTGTCAGGTGGAGTACAATTTTGAATTCTAGTTATCAAATCATAGGAATTCCTCAAGCTGAATTATATTTTTTTTTGCAATTGCATACCTCGTTGGTACCAGCACTGGGACCAAACGCCTCGCCCCATAGGTCGAAACTTGTGCGGGGTTAGGTATACATACAAACACAACACATTGAAAATTACAATAGTTTTTTATCAACGTTATTCATTTTACTGATAATTTAACTGAAGGAATTGTGAAAAATGAAACTACTGGGCGAAAAGGATAATTTTCTTCGTGTAATTTAATGAGACAATAAAATTTTGGAGGTTGAGGATTCATGATAGTTAATATGATTGAATTGAAAGTAATTTAGTTTGGGACATATCGACAGAAGATCTGAGATCTCTTGTTTGATGATCGGATTAACTCCTCAATCAAAATTATGGTACCTTCGGGAGGTATACTTGAAAGAAGGTTCTGTACATCAAATGAAATGAATTTGGTGTTGTCAGGTGGAGTACAATTTTGAATTCTAGTTATCAAATCATAGGAATTCCTCAAGCTGAATTATAATTCTTTTTTTTTGCAATTGCATACCTCGTTGGTTCCAGCACTGGGACCAAACGCCCCATAAGTCGAAACTTGTGCGGGGTTAGGTATACATACAAACACAACACATTGAAAATTACAATAGTTTTTTATCAACGTTATTCATTTTACTGATAATTTAACTGAAGGAGCTGTGAAAAATGAAACTACTGGGCGAAAAGGATAATTTTCTTTGTGTAATTTAATGAGACGATAAAGTTTTGGAGGTTGAGGATTCATGATAGTTAATCTGATCAACTAGCATGAATTCTCAACCTCCAAAACTTCATTTCCTCATCAGATATAACAACTTTCTTCTCTCATTGAATTACACAAACAATATCATCAGACCTCAATAGTTCACTTCTGTTGAATTTGTTTTCTTAGTGAGTAATAATATGTATTCGATATCAACCCTTTCAAGTTAATCCGGTACACCGTATTTTAATGTATATATTGTACGTAATTTCCGAAAATGAAGCTTTATCGAACCTGTCCATAGGTAACTAATCCTTCAGGTTGAAAAAGTAGGATATATAAGCAAGCCAATGTTGGTTTAGTTCATCGTACCAGTAAGTCACCTGACGAAGCTACTGTGTTAGCGAGACATGTCGTGTGTTTGAGAATTCTGTGGAAATTTTATCGTTTGTGAAGTTCTCACATTCCTTATTACAAAGGTTGAGCTTAAGCCTATTCGACAGAGGTGATGGAATATCATGATTTATTACACACAAGGCACAAGGCGAAGACGCAACTACATTGAGAGTGTTTATACATTCAAAAGCGGTAATACTTGAAAAGTGGTGATATATTTGAGTGATAAAAAAAATCAACGATGAGAATGAATAAAGCAGAATGTGAACAAACCTAATAAGTTCGGCAAGACAAGTGTTCAGCAGCTATCACGGACTCTCTAGCCCTACTCGTTGATTATGAATGATCTTAACTTGAGCCGTTCAGGTTTCTCATCTCTAGAAAAACGTTTGATGCTCGTACACCTCATTAAATATAGGACACTCGAATAGAATATGATATAGACACTCCCTTCTTTACATGTTGCATATTGTGCATAGTTCTACAGTATTGATGAAGTAATTCGAACAATTGAACGTTTATTTCAGAAATTTCTTGCTGCATGTTCTCAGCTGTGCTGAAATTTTCACTGTATGTATTGAAAGAAAAGCGGTTAGATAGTTCTGTGAATTTATTTGTATGGACTGACTTTGGAAAATAAAGGGATAACTGGATAGGCTCAATCTCTGCAAGTCCTCACATAGAAGTTTGCTTTTGAAAGCGTTTAATATCGATTCAGTCATCCGTTTGGAGGTACTATTTAAAAAAGCCTGTCATTTGTTAACTTGCCCTGCCTTCACATAAATTTTCATTTATATACCTATACAGGGTGTAACTAAATGGGTGTGAAACATCTGAAGGGGTGATTCCTCATCGAAAAAGAGATAGAATTTTTTGGAGCATCTCATACAGCCCCTTGATGGGGGTACATACAATTTGTTCAACCATTCTTTTCAGAAGCACTATAAAAGTTCCAGTATTGAAATCGAACTGTCACTTTCTACTACCAAACAGAAACTTAGCCAGTAATTTATTTGGTTCACCCCATGGTTTGAACCCTTTGATTATTTAACGCAAGTAGTAACTACAAAATGACAATAATTACAGTTCGCATTTATGACAATGTATCTCTGTAGTTGATCGTAACATATTTTTTTTGCTGCCAACTGGTTTATTTGGGAAAAAATTCAATGGACATTTCTTGTTCAAAATGAAACAGGCTATCGGAAATGAATCTCAAATGGTGAATAAATAATAAGACAAAAAGTTAAAATGCAAATAAAATTTAGGGGTTGCGTTTTCCACCCCTTACAACCATGGGGTGAACCAAATAAATTACTGGCTGAGTGTCTTTTTGGTAGTAGAAGATGTCAGGTCAATTCCAATACTGTAACTTTGTTAGTGCATGTGGAAAAAGTTTTTTAACAAATTTCATGTCCCCCCTTCAAGGGGCTGTATCTTAACATGGGATGCTCCAATGGAGTTTCTTTATGTGAAAGATCCCATCTTTTTTCCGATGAGGAATTACCCCCTGAAATGTTTTTCACTTATTTAGTTACACCCTGCATAACACTTTTATGAGTAGTAAGATTTGAAAACCCTCTGAAAATTTTGTGGATGAATTTTTCCATGCGCGTTTGTTCAATATTCAAGAATGGTTATAGAGTTATAAATAAGGATAATGCTTTCAGTTAGGGCCTTTCTCGGTAATTTCAACATTACTAGTGTCATACCCAGTATAATAGCATATCAGGGATAGTATATTCATGGTGGATTCTTGCAGCAATTTTAAGCCTTAAGTTTTAGGTCGTAAGTTTTAAGTAATAAGTCGTAAGAAGTTGAACAATTGCATTTCAGTGTTGTCATTCATTCACTTCTTGTAAGATTTAAGTTTTAAGCTGTAAGTTTCAAGCAACAAGAAAGTTGGCCAACTTCTATCTCTTACGACCTAAAACTTAAAACTGATTGTATTTGCGCATGCCTGTTTAATTATTTCTTCAAAATGTGAGGTTATAGGCATTATTTTTATTATTCACTTTTGTTTATCTGATTTGTTCATTTTGGTGGTTCATTCATATTATTTTATAACACAATATCAGATATGGATGAAATGGAAATTGATGATGGACAGCTTATAGAAATTGTAAGACACTTTTCAGTTTTATATGACATCAAACATAAAGAGTACCGAAATCATGAAGTGAAAACGAATGCCTGGAAAACGATCGGGGAAACCATGAATCGACCTGGTAAATATTTTTAAATTCTCCATACAGAAGTTATATTGAGTATAACATTTTTTTCGATCTTTGAAGCTGCAGAATGTGAAGCACGTTGGACTACCCTTAGAAATGTATTCACAAGGGAATCAAAGAAGGCTAAAGTGGTACCTTCTGGTTCAGGTGGCAAAGGGAAACCATGGATTTGGTTGGAAGAAATGAGCTTTCTATTAGGCTTCATTCGAAGAAGAAAGTATGTATTTATATATTATACATATTCTTATTATTTTTTAATGATCTGATGCCCTTAATTTTTCAGAACAAAAGGTAATGTATCAAAACCTGAAACTGATGAAATTGAAATGGATACTCCATCAGAGGATGTCTGGGACACAATGTCCGAAATATTCTTTGATTCAAGCCAAGTGGAACCAATGGAAAAAACAGGGGAGGAAACCCAAGATGAGAATCGTGATCCATTTGAGGCAGTTGAGGTTGTCTGTGAAACAGAAGAAGTCCCAGCAAAAAAGAAGAAATCGAATGATGATCCTATAGTACCAGTAGTACACCTAAAAACTCTTCACACCCATCCATAACCCTGTTGAGAAATAAGCGCCAAGAGAAGAGAAGAAAGAATACACAGCAAACTACACTGATAGAGACAATAAATATTGCTTGGGGTAAATTTGACAATGTCTTGAAACAAAGTAGTCATGATGAGGACCCAGATATTTTGTTTGGAAAAATGGTGGGTGTTGAATTAGTCAGCATTACCAATGATGATGTTAAATTCAATGCTAAACAAGAAATACTGAAGATTTTGCATCATTCAAAAAATGATCGAAGGCACTGAACAACAAGACTGGAAATCTTGTTCTTTTTTTATTTTTTTATATTTCAAATATTATTTATTACTTTACCCTTCTACCTTGTTTTTTTGAGAATCATTTTCAAATTTGAAAAGCCTGGGGATGTTATTTTTTGTTCGTTTTTTTCTATATTTCCAGTGTTATTTATGATTTACTCTTGTACCTGTTTCATGTAAGCATTATTTTTCATTTTCGAAGCCTGGAAATGTTGTTTTTTGTTTATTATTTCTATATTTCAAGTAAAATTTATGATTTACACTTGTACCTGTTTTTTTTTTCAAGAATTATTTTCAATTTTCACAGCTTTGTACCTGATTGTACCCAAGAACTCAAGTTTGACGTTTTTCTACTTGAATAAAATACTTAAAATTCAACTTCAAGTATATCTTTATTTCACACAAATCCTAATGTAAACTGAACATACATATGGTACCTAATATTTATGTAAAAAAGGCCTTATAAATATATCATCAACCTAATGATTAGCAAAAAAATTAGAGCATTCCTAATTTTGAAATCGTCCAATCAAAAAGAGTAAGCAACTAAAAATTATCTGGAGAGAACCCTTCAGGATACTTTCCATTTGCCATGGTAAACTTCCTAGTTCACTGTTAAAGTAATCACACAAGATATCTCTATTTGATCTAATGGATGCTTGAGCATTGTTTGCACCTAATCTACCCACACTCCTGAGGTGAGTCCTCTCTTCCCGCCATGATCCAGGAATTACAGTACCATCAAACGTTTCAATATCTGTGTCACCAGTAGGACAATAGTGCCTCTCCTCAACAGGTATGTCCTCTTCAGCTCTCTGCTTATGAAGCACAACAGTTGCTTAAGCAATATTTTCACATGTGCTTACATCACCAATTATAGGTTTTCTCAGTATCCTCCATCTCTGAGCCAATATGCCAAAAGTATTTTCAATGGTTCGTCTAGCCCTTGATAACCTATAATTGAATATTCTTATTCTTTCTCCTACATTTTGTTGAGGATATGGCCTCATAATATGCTGTGTCAGAGGGAAGGCAGCATCAGCCATAAATACATAGGGTAAAACAGTATCTGCTGTATTTGGTAATTTCATATCTTGTGGTATACTGAATTTATTTTTCAGGATTTCATGCCCAAAACCAGATTCCTTGAATACAGTAGAGTCATGATTGCTTCCTGTCGCACCTATATCTACCACTGTGAATCTATAGAGAGCATCACAGCTAGCCATTAACACAATACTGTGGTGTTTTTTGTAATTAAAATATAAAGATCCTCCATGATGTGGTGCTTGAATAGTGATGTGTTTTCCATCGATTGCCCCAATACAGTTTGGAAAGTTCCATCTCTTGAAGAAGCCCTCTGATATGTGCTGCAAATCTTCAACAGATGGGGGTTTCAGATAAATTGGTGACAATACATTCCATAAAACTTTGGTAGTTTCATGAATGATCTCACAAACAGTGGAATGTCCAATCATGTGACCCCATGCTAATTCTTGCATAGAGCAACCCTCAGCCAAGTAACTGCAATAATATCAGGGTTATCAATCGATTTGTACTGTGGAAGTGCATACTCACTGTAGTGTAATGATCAAGCGTTGAGCAGGTGACAAAGGGTGTTTTGATTCATCCTTCTGCAAATTGGGCTTTACTAACTTCAATACATTGAAAAAAAGGTTTGGGGTCATCCTGCAATATTTGAAGAAACTGTCTTCATCAGTCAGCAACATGCTTTTCAATACATTATTAAACATTCCCTTTTCTTTTCTTTTCCTATTTATGGGTCGAACAGCATATCCTCTTGGCATTCTTTCTTTATTCAATAGAAGCAGGGAACTTGTTGTTAACAATGTTAACATTAACATAGCTGCTACCTCTCTACTTCCTAGCATCATTTACAAAAATCTGTTCTTATATAAATTGTTGAAAAAAGGAAAATGTACTGATTCACAGTTCTCACTTCAAAAACATAACCTTCAACAGCTGTCTGACCTGTCACATGGAATCGACCATTGAGATTATCTATGGTTATTTTTTCTTTATGACTTAAAACATAATACTTAAAACTTACGACTTAAAACTTACGACTTAAAACTTACGACTTAAAACTTACGACTTGAAACTTACGACTTAAAACTTAAGGCTTAAAATTGCTGCATGAATTCACCATCAGTTTTGGTTTTCTCCTAAAGATGCTGATATAGTTAGTGGAAAACTACGCATTAAAAAGTTCACCAACAATGGCGTTGAAGGGCCTATGAAGCTTGACTTCAATTCTCAAAGGAGACCGTCAATAAGTTCAAAACATTGAATCGAGGACTCATGCAATTGAACATGATTGAACATATCTCGTCGATCTCTACCAGAAAATAAAATGATATAGGGGTGTTTTTCTAAGACTTCTAGACAATGATGGATCTTCGGCATACTTTTTTTTATTCGAGATATCTAAATTTTGATCAACGATGGAGGGACCCTACAGAATTTGTTTATTCATAATGAGAAAACGCGCTTGGAGAACTAAATTCACCAAGTTCCTAGAGGGTTTTGAAATTTGACAACTAATTGAAGAAGAACATGGATGAGTCTGAGACGGGTGTTTTCGAACAAATAATGCTATATCATACATCATTGAAATGAAATGCAGAGTATTCCATTTGAAAATTTCCAGAATATAATCGATTTACTCGTCTCTCTGAGTTATGTCCAAAGACGAAATGACATTCAGTGCATTCCATTGGAAAAACGTATGAGGTATGTCACAGGCATATGGATCATCCTGTATACCTAGTTGATAGTATGTATAGTTGATTTATAATATTCGAATCAAAGGAAGTTATCACTCCATCTTAGATGGTCCCCTTATATAATATTATCAATTTCCTTCTTCAGTTGGAAGTAGATTTCCTAATGTCATTCAATTCGAGTTACTCATATGTTATGTTTCCTGTTTTCTCACAATAGTTTTGATCTGCGTAGTTTCTTTTTTTTAAATTGTTATCGACGTAGATATTCCCGAATCGATACGCCACTGTTGGCTGAATTAATTCAAGATGGCCGAACACGCGGAACCCTCATTAAAGTAATTAGGTACTCGATGTTCTTGTATCTCAGCACAAGTTTTTATCCTTATTTGTACCAATGAATGAGCAATGCGAGTACATTTTTATCGATAAATCTATCTCATTGTCTCTAATAAATCAGTATTACATGAAATGAGGAGCGATAGTGATTATTCGATTTCATTCGTCGTTTTCACTTAGTATCCTTCAAGTAAATATACTTCCATTTTTGATGCTGCTTTGGTAGTGATTAAAGTGCCATGTCAAAAGAGCGCTAACAGCTTTGATCAATATTATCTGTTAGGTAGAAGGTATCTATTATCAATAAATGATGATTTGTGGTATAAGTACATACATTTCAGCCCATTGAAATAAATGAGAGCTTGTTTGTTGAAAAAATATCTACACGATTAAATGATCTGATGATTATTTGTTCCGCAATGCATTGACGATCAGGTCGAAATGCACCGATACATTGTGAACAAAAATGAGGATAGTTATGAAATTACATTTTGTTATAAAGACTGATCAATTCTAGCAATAGAAGTATGAACTATGAATAAGACAATATTATGTTGCAATCTGTTCTCCAGTATCATGTTGAAAGAATTTTTTCAGAAAAAATCCTTGAAATTATCAAAATCACGAGGTACCGCGCAGGATAAAAGTCAAACAAAAGATCCAATTGAGAATATTTTCAATTGAGAAAGGGATCATAGGTACTGGTTGCCCTTGTCCAATACATATTTGGTAGCTTCTCAAACCTTCTACGTTGTATTGCGTGCAATTTATCCTTGTAGTCAAGGGCCTGTACGTGGGACTATAGATGGCAGCGCCATACAGTGTGTGTCGCGATCTTTTGATCCTACCTCAGAGCTTAGCCGCTAGATGGCTTCAACATGACTCATGTTATACCATTCGTCTTCGAAATGGGTGATATATCCAGAGCGTAGAGTTTCTCCAGTTGTCAGCGGACCGAGAGCGGCTGATGATATCTGGTGGGTCGAAATAGTATTGTCTCGCTCCTGCTGACAATTGGGGCAACTCTGTTCATTTTGGATCTCTTGGATATGAGATCTAGCTGTTTAAAAAGTTATTTGGATTTGAATAAGGTTAAGCCAGTTTATTATTTTACTTTTCCATAAAGTAAGCATTCATTATTGATACTCCACTATCAGCACAAATATGCGCTTGTTATGACGCGCTATTTCAGTCGGCGCTATATATTATGTCGCGGGGCTGATTTTTATTGGCGCTATTTTGTCACGCGCTATTTGTTTAGGGCTATATTACTGTCTATTTTGTCTAGCGCTGTTTGATAACAGAGCCGTAAACACGACATACGACACCCGACACACGACTCACGACTTACACGCACTGGAATTAGAGGAAAAATAATCGTAGATTTGCATATTCATATTGAAGACGATAGTTCTCGATTCGAAATTGCCAACCCCGAGTTGGCATCGACACCTGTCAGTAATGTATGATTGCATCAAATCAGAGCTCATGCTAGCCGAACAGAAATAATCGAGTTGGAATTTGTATACCCCATGCGCTCCTTAACGATACAAGTAGGCTACCTATTAGTGGTGAGTAGGATTATATTGAAACCACAGCAAAGTTAATAGTTGAGGAAATGATGATAATTCCAGACCAAATAGAAAAC